AAGTAGGTTCTGGTAGGTTCAGGTACACATCAACCTATGAGGTCTAACCGTTTAGGGTTTCAGGGGCGGTACTACTTTACTCTTCTCCAACCCCACGGCAGAAACTTCTGAGCGAAGGACCAACTCACTGTGCGCCACCTCGCGTGCCTTGCGCTCGCCGGCCTAGTCAAGCATCTCGTTGGATCGGGTTAGAGGGGGAAGGAACTTTCTCAGGGGTTCAGGGTGTAGCACTCCCGCTGGAGCAGCAGGGTTTTTTTCCCACCCGCTTCGCAGCAGGGTTTAGGGTTAAGGGTTCAGATGACTCAGCAGGAGAAAATTTGAAAATGCAAAAAACAGAGTGGTCAGCAACGGCAGTGGCGATACCACCAAAACGAGACGCTTCACCTGCGTATTCAGAAAACCTCAAGCGGTCAGGCCGCATCTTGTGACGAACAACGATCAGCTGCTGGCAAAACCCCATTTTTCTGAACGAGGTCTCTCTGAAGTGNNAACCCTGAACCCTAAACCCTGCAGGCGTAGGTTCCGTGATCCGGACTCCTACACAGCCATGTCGCATTTGCATCCATGCTCAAGGCTCCTATGAAAGATGAAGAACGCACAGTTGGTCTGAGGGATTTATTGAGTGGTTACAGCTAGAAGCCCCAAAATGCTATATTCAAAGATTGCCTACTCAGCCCCTCAGAAGTCGTATACAGAATGACGAACCCCAGGCCGACAAAAGCCCAAAACCTAAACCCTGAGCCCTAAAATCGCCTGGCCTCTCCGTAGATTCCGATGTGTTCAGTCCCCCCTTCACGGTACATCCTCGCAGGCTTCTTTGAAGTTTGAGCGTTTATGACTTTAGGGCTTGTGTAGTGCCCCAAACCCTAAACCCTAGCAGAACCCTAATTCGAAGGTCCACGGCATGAACATTCCCTTATGTGCAATAGCTTCGCTTCACAGGTCATAGTACATCAGAGCACAGTATAAGTGTGGAATAGTATAGAATATTAAGCTGTTGCTATATTACACTCTCTGTGGGCTGTCTAGTGCTCCGAGGCAAGGGTGCATGAGGGGTAGGATTGCTGGTGCTTTCCGGTGTGAAGGTGTCGGAATTTCGGTGAAGGGCTCACGGCTCATGCTGTGCAGTCTATGCCACTTAGGGCCAGGGGTTTCCGGCTGCTTCGGGCCCAATCTCATAAGCAACACCCCTATAAGAGACTGCGGAAATGTCAAGGGACCCTCTTCCAGGCATTTAGGCTCTTGATGGACATGGACTTACTAAACCTTAGAGTAGCCCTTAGCCCTTAAGGGTGGACTCTTTAGCATCAGAGGCCCTGGGTCTCTTCAACTCTCGTTTATGGACGGCCCCCGACCCTGCCGTCACGGAATCAAAGGACTTCGCTTCATGACGACCTTAACCAAAAAAAGCAGGTGTATAGACATAAACAAAAGAGAGGGTCTGCTGTGACGCCCCTGGGACCATGCTCAAAACTGACTGATTTCGATGAGCTGCACCGAACCTCATAGACCTTGCAACCCGAAGGTTCTCAATGCCCCCCCCCCCCCCCCCCC